CTTCTGCATAAGCTTCCTCAATATCATTATGACATGGTGACTGGCCTCCCCAGACTAAGCAGTGAGAGGGAGAGAGAAGAAAAGAAGGAGAGAGAGAGAGTATGTACCTCTAAGATGGAAGCTACAGTGTGGTAAACCATCATTTCTGCCTATTTTACTAGTCATACGGACAGACCCTAGGAAAATGTGGAAGGGAACTACACAAGGGTAGCAAATACTAAATGATGGTGATCATTAGAGACCAAATTAAAGGCTGCTGATCACATAGTTTCTTCATCTGAAGAACTTTAGTAAAGTTGTGAAGCAAAGTATACATAAAGATTAAGTTAAGGCAATGAGAGGAAGAGCAGAGCAACAAGTTTGTGAAACTAGCCTGAGGAATACTTTCAGAACCTGCTAAATTTGCTTAATGTCTCCTTAGGAGGCATGTGCCTTCCTTCCCTTATTGTAAACCTATTAAGGAAAGCTTGTAGCATGTGTTAATACCCTACTTTGTACTGTTGAGAAGGAAATCAGATTATTTCTTAACTGAAAGCACACCAATGGATATATGAAACAAAGACAACACCATTCTATAGTTACAGGGTTAGAAACAACTCTTGAGATCATCTAGTTTGGAGATCTTGATATGGACTTTGCATATGGTCCTCAAAGAAACTGGTAAAGGAAAACTGTACACAAAATACTGGGGAGTAGCTGCATTAGATTTTCGAAAGTATCCATGCTTCCCCTAAACAGTGTAACAAGCATCATGGAGCTCATGATAGTCATCTTATTGATGAGAAACCTGAGACACAAAGAAGTAAGACGACTTTTCAAAAATCACGTCATGAATCAGTGGCAGTAGCAGTGGACACAGAATTGAAGTCTTCTGGTTTCTGGTTCAGTGTTATTTTAGTTACATCAATGTAAATGCAGTGTATATTGTTACTATGGTTTGTAAAAATTAAAGCTTACCTGAGTTCTCTCTCTATATATATTCTTATAGGATCATTTTGTCTTTTCACCTCCCAACCAAGTGTTAAAATTGGTATAATTTTCTAGAAATAAGAGAGTCATCAGAGAGGAGAATTTTACTCCAAAGTGTTTATAATATGAAAAACTCCTTGTTTATATATAGGAATAAGAGATCAGCAAATAGATTATAATTGGTCATCTATAACATAAACCCGAATACTGATCTCATATATTTATTCACTAATTTGACAGACATTTTAAAACACTTAATACGTGCCAGAAACTGTGCTAGTTGTTGGGGATGCAATATGGTGGGGCTCAAGATAGAAACTACTTTTACCCTCAGTTTCTAACAGTCCCTCCTTATCTCCCTCTGCCATTCCCCACATGTTTCATAATAAACCTGTTGAGTGGTATCAACAGCACATAAGTGATATAAGGTAAGAACTGAATAGAGACACAGATATATGTAGAAGCCAAAACAGGGTGTCATTTAAAAAAAAAAAAAAGAAAAGCTAGTGTTAGGGAATTTGAATTGTCTGGTATAAATAGCAATGACTTAGAAGTTCCTTTCTATTGAATGCTAAATAACCATGCTAGTGGTATATACACACACAGCTTTATAATGATAGGCAATTACAAAAGACACTGAATAAGATAATTAGTGACTTGATGCAAAACATTAACCTGGTAGCTTAAGTGTGAGGTGAGTATAAGGAAATGGGAGATGGTACAAAGGAAATTGGAGATGAGTTGATAGCCCCTATGTAAAGAAGTACACTTTCGGGGCCTCCCTGGTGGTGCAAGGGGTTAAGAGACAGCACTATGAGGCTACCCTCAGCCACTGCAGCATGAGTTCAATCCCCCACCAGGGAGGTGACCCACATGGTGGAGCAGATCTCTCCTGTCTCACCTGCTGCTCCCTGTATTTCAGTCAGTCTGCCTGTTTTGTTTCCCACTCTGTCTCTGGTGACTCCTCTCACCCCTACACCTCTGGCCTGTACCCCAGTTTTGTATCCATAAATAAATCAATCTTTAAAAAACAAAGAAGTACACTTTAAACTCCTGGTCTAAAGCCCAGGAGAATACAATAGTACAATACTGTATTCAGTACTACAGAGTAGTCCAATACCTTGTATTGTACAGAGAGTACAATTCTACAGAGAATCCCCATGTACATTATAATTTTACATAAATGCATAAAGTTTTCATTTCCTGGAATGAAATATTAATGCTCCTGTACCTTATAACTCTTATAACTATGGTATGTTTCTTAATACCAATGTTTTATTAATTTATCTTATTTACTATTTTAAAAGTAAAGATGAATTAATTAATATATTATTGTTGGGAGTAAACTGTTGGCTTAGAAATTTCATACATGGTTATTGGATTTTGTAACTGTATGTAACATTGGAGTTAAGAGGCAATTTGATATGGTTCATTAGGATTTAAACTAAGAATGCAATGCAATTCAGTATGTATGGAGCACCTTTATTGCACAAGGTAACACTGTGCTTTTTGCCTATAGGAAGTAACTGTAGATTCTGAAAATTACTATATACCTTATATGTATCAATGTGAATATTTATAAGGAATGCTTAAAGAGAAAAGGACAGAGCAGAAGATTTAGGAAAACTGAAAAGTACATTTGACAAATGGAGGATGCAGAGTCTTGAAGTAGAGAACAAAGTACACAAAAAGGCATGGAAGCAGTAGGGAAATCGTGAGGAATAGACAGTCTTGTCTGGCTAGCTGGAGAATATGGTGCAAGGGAAGTTTTAACACAGAGTTTGCAAATAGTCAAAAATGCTTCAAAACAGAGTTTATCATCCTATTGTGAAAAGAGGGGCTAGGAGAGCAAAAAGAGACTAAAAGGGCAGAAAGAATTAAAGGAAGGGTGTGAGGAAGCAGAGAGAGAAAGACAAGTAGGGGAAGAAGTAGGGAGGAAAAGATTCATCAAAACAGTAGAAGAGATAAAAGGCAGATGGAGTTCTGAACTCCACAGGGATTAGGACAGGTAAAACCAGTGTATTCACCAGAGTTAATGTATGAACACAAGAATATTAACTAACAAATTGTTTTTGTATACAACGGGTAAAATACTATCTGATTACTTTGAGCTTGTTTTAGGGGGTACATTTTAAGTTTCCATAAATATATTTATTTATTTTTAAAATTAATTAAAAAAAATTTACATCATTTTTCATTTTTAAATAATATTTGCATCCCCCCACCCCCTCAAGTGTAGTCTCCATAGAGTTTCCTTCACCAATGCACCCGTGCACCATCACCACAGTTCCCTGTGCTCCTCCCTCTGATCCCTCTGCCACCTCCTCCCCTGCAAGATGTCTCTGATTTATAATTGTCTGTTCTTGCTTTGTTGTGTTTTGTACTGTTACATTTTTTTACACTGATGTCTTATTTGGTTCCCCTATATTCTTGCTATAAGAGAAACCATCGATATTTTTCTTTTTCCTTCTGGCTTATTTCACTGAGCATAATTCCTTCTAGTTCCATCCACGTTGCTGCGAATGGCATGAGTTTATCTTTTTTGATTGCTGGATAATATTCCATTGTGTACAAATGCCACATCTTCTTGATCCAGTCATCTATTTGGGGGCATTTGGGTTGTTTCCAGGTTTTACCTATTGTAAATAGTGCTGCAATAAACATAGGGGTACAGGTGTTCTTTTGAATCAGTGTTTTTGTGTCCTTTGGGTAGAGCCCTAAGAGTGGAATTGCCAGGTCATATGGTAGCTCCATTTTGAGTAGACTGAGGAGCTTCCAGACAGCTTTTCACAGTGGTTGGACCAGTTTGCACTCCCACCAGCAATGTAGGAGAGTTCCTTTTTCACCACATCCTCGCCAACATTTGTTGTTGCTTGTTTCTTTGATATGTGCCATTCTTACTGGTGTAAGGTGGTATCTTAGTGTGGTTTTAATTTGCATTTCCCTGATGATATGGATGTTGAACATTTTTTCATATGCCTGTTGGCCATTTGCATTTCCTCTTTGGAGAGTTTCCATAAATTTAAAGAGTGAATGAAGATCACAAAACTAGTTAGTGGTAGAACCTAAGTTTCTAGATAGCAAAGACTTGTTAAAACATGTTCTTCATATTTACTACTAGCTGCATTAACTAAAACTCAGAAACAGCTAAGTTCCAACTCAATTATAAAGCTGTGACATTTTAACCAGTTCTTCCAAATGCACTATCCACGGATTCTTAGTGATTGATGTGCACTGAACTGTCTCTTTTAGTTCCTTTTCTCCATTTCTTTGTTTTAACTAGACACACTATAGAAAAGTCCATATTAAATAGTCATTAAATTGATTGAGCAAATTTCCTGAAACTTAAAAGAAATAATTTTATCATTTAGAAAAACTACTTGTTTAGGGTTCCTGGACCCTATTCCAACGTGAATGTATGTGAAGTCTTTCCCACACTCACAAGCAATTTTTGGACACCAGCAGAGTATCTGAGAACTCAGCTCAATCTGTCCAAAAATTCTACTGAAGTCAACTCAATTCTGACACTGTCTACCCGGAGATAGTATCAAATTTCACAGGTTGGTCAGAAGCACAGATAAGAACAGCCAAGATTTGCAACCTGCATTTGAAGTGGAGAGTGCTTTTTGGAGACTGAGCCCTTAACCTGAGCCCTCAACCTCCCAAGAACCACTTCTCAAGTTTGGTTAATTTGCTAGAACATCTGCTAGAACTCAGGAAACCCATTTACTCACTAGATCACTGATTTATTACAAATGACACAACTCTGGAATATTCAGGTGGAAGAAGTGTACAGAGTAAGGGATGGGGAAAGGACACGGAGCTTCCATGTCCTTTCCAGCTATTCCATTTTCCCTAACCTCCATGTGTTCAATAGCCAGGAAGGTACTCAAAGTTCCCTTCTCTTGAGTTTTTATGGTTTTATTTCATTATATAGGCATGATGATTAACTCATCAGCCATTGGTGACTGATTCAACCTCTAGTCCTTTCCTACAACTAGCCCCATCCTTATGTGTTTGCCAAACGTTACCTTCATTAACATTAATAAGAGACACCTTTATCACTCTCAACACAGAAAGTTCCAAGGCTTTTGGAAGCTGTGAGCCAGAAACTGTGGATGAAGAAAAATTATGTATAAGAAATAAATAAATTCTGGTCATGTGAATGACCAAATACATATTTTTCTTATGACTAACAGTATAGCACTACTTTTATTATTAAAATGCAAAGGAAAATTATGGAAAATAAATATAGTAAATAAATATAATAAACTGCAACAGTGATATGTTCAGATGAGTCTCTTTAGTTTTCTTAAAAGTGATTTCCAAATATATTTTGATGAGCATATACTAATTTTTGATGAATATGTATCCATATTTACATCTGTACATTTAACTGTAATAAACTATGTTGTTTTTAACATGTTTTTCTCATTTCCCTCTTTCAGTCACTCTATAAGACAAGAAAGAATCCCTCAAACACTGGTAGTCTAAGAAATCCAAGACTGTCAGGAATGGAACCTCCTGCAGTCCATTTCAGTATTACTAAATACAATGCCCTAAGAGTTGGAACACTTTCTTATGTTTAGAAAAATCAGCCCTACTTTAAGTCCTTTCATCATGTTCTTTCTTTCAGCAATGGATAATAGATTGATATAACTAATAAAATACTTTCATATATTAGAGAAATAATATATCTCTTTTCTGTTCATACTCATTTCTTGATGATTTTATCCAGTCTCATGGTTAATGACCACCAGATTTATGTTTCCAGCCCAGATCTTGCTCCTAACCTCCAAAATCATAAATCACCTCTACCTGATGGTTATTAGGTATCTCAAACTTAACACGTCAAAAACAAAATTCAGGATTTCCATTCTATGCTTCTTAAAAATGGTAATGACAATGTCAGTCTTCCTGTGAGTTGGGTCTCAAACTCTGGGATCATTTCCTTCATTTATCTCTTTTTTTATTTTCTACATTCAAATTGTTAGTACATTCATTTTTCTATCTCTACATTCAAACTTTACCACTTTTTGCCACCTCTGCTATTGCACCTCAGTCCAAGCTACTGTCATCTGTTGCCTAGTTTACTGCAATAACCTTCTGTCAGGTCTTCCTGCTTCTACTCTGAGTCTAACTCTTAATTCAGTATTAAAGTGATTCTTTCAAACTGTAAATCAGATCATGTCAGTTTCTGCTCAGAACTCTTCAATGTCTTACCAATTTATTCAGAGTAAGAGCTAAGATACTTATAATAGCATACAAAGCCACAGAAGACCTGTATCCCTCACCACCAACTCTCAACACTGTCTCCCTTGCTCTTGCTGCTGCTCCATTCACACAGATGCCCTTGCTGCCCATAAAACAAATACAGACAAACTCCTGTATTATGGACTTTGCAATATTTGTTTCCCTATCTGACTTCCTCACTTCTTCCTAATCTTTTTTTTTTTTAAGATTTTATTTATTTATTTATTTATTTATTTATACAAGCACTGGGTACAGTCAGAAGCGCGGGAGGGTGAGAGAATCCACCAGAGCCAGAGCAGGGAACAGAGCAGGCAGAAGGACCGAAGTACACTGCTGAGGGGAGCAGCGGGTGGCAGGAGAGGTCTGCGCGCCATGTGGGACCCTCCTCTGGTGGCCGGGGAGCAGCCGGGGATCGAACCTGCACTGCAGAGGCTGCGGGCAGCTTTGCAACCCAGCACTCAACCGCTGCGCACTGGGGAGGCCCACTTCTTCCTAATCTTTACTGAACTGTCACCTTTTCACTGAGATGTTCCCTGTTCCCTCCTCCCAATATAAACACTTCCTATTTCTCTTCCTTCTTTTTTTCCCTTAGTATTTGTCACTTTCTAGTTTACTATCTATTATTTATCCTGTGTATAAATTTTTCCTGACTAGAAAAAGGAGTCTATTGACTATTATATATCCAATACCTAGAACGTTGCCTGGAACATAATAGGTGCTCAGTAAATAACTGTTGATGGGTTCAATGGGTAAATCCCTTAAATATTTACTGAGTTGGTGTCATGCACTAGGTGTCAGGCGCTAGGCCAAAACTTAGGGACAGAAAAAACAGCAAAGGAGCTGTTACTCTTCTTTGACTGCTTAGGGGAGGAAAATAACTAAATTTGTCAGGGGAAATTTAAATACAAGAAGGAAGGAATTACAAATACATAAACTTAAAAGTGGCTTAATATTGAGTTCAATTTTAAAAGTTGTGTTTAGGTATGTCCATGTGCTTGAATTCAGGGATATTATTAGATTTTAGCATATTCAAATCACTCTGATCTGTAAGTAATAGCAGAATCATCTGGCTTATACAAATTCTTGAAGAACCTACTATTAATTATTCTAGAAATATTAAAATGTTGGAAAAATCTCTCTCTATTTTTTTCTACTAGTAAATTCTCTAAAACAAAAAGATAATAATAAATGTTTTCAAGTATTAAAATGCTATTTGGGGAATTTAAGATCTGAAAATTTAAAAAGATTCTAATTTATATTCTCATATAGTCTGTAGTTACAACAGTCAAAGGAACTGCAGTACTTTTCAACAGCTGAATGTTCTTTGCATAATGACTTAATAAATATTATTTGAATAACCAAGCAGGGGGATGAATACATGAATACAAACTATATTTACTTCTAGTAACAGTAAAAATAATAGGAAATAATATTTACCAAACCTTTGTGATTACCAAGAATTCTGCTAGTTATTCATAGGTAAATTTATTTACTCCTAAAAATACCACAAGGCAGTTATTATTCTTTATATTACAGATGAGGAGACAGACAAACAACGAAGGCAACAAATGTACCAAAGATCATAGAGGCTGTAGTTGGCAAGGCCAGAATTCAAGTTCAGGTTGTCTGACCTCAGAGATTACATTAAACTGGAGCTGTTGGATAAAAAGGGGGTGTGATGATACAAGTGATTGTGTCTTGTCTAGAAGATATACTATATGACTAACATTATAGCATTAAGGTAAAAAGCATCGTTTTCATTTTTAAGGAAGCAATAAGAATTCTAAAAAATGAAAAGTTTGAGTCAGAAGTAAAGGGAGATAATTTGATAGTTTAACTCAAATGCCTGAATCAAACCTGAACTATGAAATTATTTGTATCTGGCTCGGGGTTATTGGTATCAGAGTCAGCACCTGAATCCATTCACTGCTCTGGCATTTCAAGACAGTGCTCATTCCCCCATAATCATGTAGAAAAAAACATTCTCTGAAAAATTAATGTGAAGAAAAATCTGTTGGAAGTAATTCAAAAGACAAGCTTGAAAAAAGTTGCCTAGAAAATAGAAAACAGCTATACTTTTACAAAATGTTCTTGACTTTTCACAATTTTTATATTATAAAATGACTAATTCATTAAACCATGACCAATGTATAATTTCCCTATAATTTTACTATAATAAGATTATAGTTTTAGTTGTAGTTAAATCAATAAAATATAAACCCTATGCACTGTGCAGACATTTTGTTACTAGGGTAATACATAGAATACTGTCACCACCTATCAGTCCCCTATGGATGTCATTTAAAATGAGATGCCCAGAACACAATGCTCCAAACTGAGCAGGATAAAGACAAGAATAGTAGGATTACTGCTTGCTCAGCAACAAAAGACTTACACTAAGGCAGCCAAACTTGCTATGACTATATTTGGAGCAGACATGCTATACTGTTGCTTTATCTTAAAGCTTGTCTACTAAAAATTCCAGGTCCCTTTCAAATGAATTGTTACCAAGTCAGATCTCCCTTTCTCCTCTAATTGTGCAGTCACTGCTTTGAACTTTTACTTAGCAAACCCTGACAGTAATGTCTAAAATTTTAACAACAACAACAACAATCAAAACAAGGTTATATGTGAAAGAGATCAGATGTTCCCAGGGATTACATGATTTTAGAGATACTGTCAACCTATGAATTTTTAATATAATTGTTGAGCTGGGAAACAGGCTTTTAGAAATATACAGAAGGAATGTTCTACAAACTTCTGCAAAGAGGACAATGCTATGCTCAGTCACAAAGTAGATTGTGACACTGCATATTCATGCACAAGCAGTTGCACGGATCCATAAAGAGTGGATAAGCAACATATGTGCCAAAGTAGTATAAGTCCATAGGACTGAGAAATAAATGAAAAATAAAAAGTTATAGGACAGGGTCTCCCCTGGTGGCGCAGCAGTTGAGCGCTGGGCTGCAAAGCTGCCTGCAGCCTCTGCAGCACCGGTTTGATCCCCAGCTGCCAGCAAGGGTCCCACATGGCATGTAGACCTCTCCTGCCATGCCCGCTGCTCCCCTCAGTGGTGTATTTTGTTGATCTGCCTGTTCTGTTCCCCGCTCTGGTGAATTCTCTCACCCGCCCGCACTTCTGACTGTACCCAGAGCTTGTATAAATAAATAAATAAATAAATCTTTAAAAAAAAAAGTTAAAGGACAAATATGACTTCCTAGAGGGTAATTCATTATAATGAAATACACCACAATGGAAGTAGAATTAGAAAGTGATTTAGTGTGTATTTTCAGGACTCAGAGCTAACAGGAGATATTAATTGAATAACAAAGTAACTATCCTTCAGTAGTTTTCTAGCATTACTGTCTATCCCTTTCCTCCAAATCTCTTAACATTAATGTGCTCCTGACTCTTCAGAGCTTCCTGCTTAGGGTTATGTCTCTAATTATGTTGTTACAGACTTGGTTTATTTTTCATATTATGATCCTTCAAGATTTTTCTGAATGTCCTTTGTCAGGGCCCTCCTCTCATTCGGCAATGCTGTTAGAAATAAATTTTATAAATTGATGTTATAATGGTTAATAGAGAAATGTGTAAATTTTCTCAGGAATATTTGCCCTTTAGTTGTGTGACACTGGGAATATGATATTTAATGCAGAACAATCAATTTCCAATTAGTGGTACAATTTTAGGGATGCAGCAGGTAAGAGTATGGATAAAGGAAGATGCATTTTGTAGGGAAAAAATTCCTATTTGCCACACAATAGGTAATTTTGATATGTGGGCTGAACCTGTTTGGAAAATAGAACTAATATAGAGATATATTTAGCATATATACAGCTAATCCACTCCTTTGAAT